TAATCTAATTCAAGTATATATATATAATATATAAAGTATAAAATTTGTAAACTATAAAAACATATTTTATTAGTAATCATAATGTAAATATAGATATTATAGAAATAATATCTTATTTAATGAATTATGAATATCATTAAAAGTTATTATATTTTTTAATAATCTTTAAAAGCATTCTATTTGCTCATCCTAAATAATTTAAAAAAAACTTCAAATAAAACTTATTAATTCTACTTACTGTTAGCATAAAATTTTATTTTAATTTATTATATGATAACAATTTACTTTTATTTTGTTAATTAAATTTAAATCATCTATCTTTTTTATTAAAGACTTGATTGAAGTTATTTATAATACAAGACAGATATCTTTTATAGGATTTCTGACTTTAGAAAATTTCTCATCTTATAAGTATTTCAAGAAGTTTGATTTTTTGAACTAATAATACATGTCTTTATTTTATTTACATTTTCTTTATAAAATAATAGAAAATTATTTTAATAAACTAAAATATGTAACATAATGTAAGATATCACATTAAATATTTAGATAAAAATATAAAGAAAAAATAATATTTATATTTAATATTAATTTCTTTATTATATTTTAGTTTATAATTTATATTAAAGCTATTGATATTTTTTGTAAAAAGATTGTTACAGTCTTAATTTTTATATTATTAAAAATTATCTTATTTATAAATTTTAAATTATAAACTAACTAATTTATAATAAAAACATTAAAATAATAAATATATTAAATAAAATATATGAAATATAAGAAATAATAATTATACTAGTGATAATAAAATATAAGTAGTATAAATAAGATACTAAATATTTTAAAAATCAGAATTATCAGACTTATCAGGCTTATCAATTTGATTTATAAAATCAAAAAATCAGTAGAATATTAAAAAAATTAAAAATCAGAAATTATACAAATTCTTTAATTTATGATCAATATAAAATTAAATTGAATAACTTTTGTAAATCGTTTAATAATCTTTGTAAATCAATTTTCAATGATGAATTTTTTAAATGATAATATCATAAAACTTACAATATAATTTAGCAGTCTTTTTACTTTATATATTTATAATAATTATTGATATTAAAATGCTGATACATATTTTTTGTAAGTAATAAAAATGATGATACTATTGCAGAAACATTAAAAATAATTTATTAAATATATTATCAATAGACTTCTTAATAGATTCTTTTAGATTAAAATAGTATAGAAGTAAAAAGTATTAAATAAGCTTTTAGTCTTAATAATAATGAATACAAATATAATACAATTCTTTGTACTATTTATATTATATGAATATTGATGATTAAAATTTATGAAAAATATAAAATATTATGATTGTAACAATACACAAAGATTAAAAATCAGATATGAAAAATTTATACATAATGCTATTAATACTTGTCTTATTTCTACTATTAAAAATTATATTACAGCTAATTTCATAATTCATGGACTATTAATAATTTTTCAGTCACATTCAGTTGCAATATTTTATAGTAATTTTATTATAAAATATTTTCAGTTGCATTCAGTCGCAATTTATTAGTGATTCACAAATTATGAAATTAGCTGTAAAAAAATTATATAAAAATATAATATAATAGGTATTGTGAATATGATAGCATTTATATATACAATTACTTTTATAAATCTACTGGAATCTTAATATAGTGAATTAAAAAGAAAATATTTTTATTATATAGGAACTTTGTAATAAAAAAAGAGAAAACTTTAAAAATTTTTTTTTGAATTAGTATTAAATCTGAACTTATTTAAAAAAATCATATTTAGTTTATAAAGTAAAATTGGAATTTTTTTCTTTTTACTGCAAAATATTTAATTTATTTTATTTAATTATTTTATATTTTTAATTAATATATATTTTTTTTTATAATAAATACTATTTATAAAATTATTATTTAATTTTAAAAATCATTCAAACTCTAAAAAGTTCCCTTTAATCTTTATATTTAAAAAACTTTAGCTTTTAACTTAAGGTCAAGTAAAATAAATTTTAGATTCTTATGATATAAAATTTTAAATTTGTCATAATCAACCAGTTTTTATTTTTTATATATAAACTATTTTATATGTATTTTATATGTTAAATTTTTATAATAAAATAAATATTAACACATTATTATGATTTTCATTATATAAAGTATTATAAAAAAAATTTTATTATAAAAATAAATCATGAATTTTTGTAAAAATTGAGATAACCGATCATGAAAATCTAAAAAATTTTTTTTGCCTAGCTTAAAAGGTAATATAATTAAAGAAATTTTAAAATTTTCTTATTAATTTTTAACAATTACTTATTAAATAATCTTCTGTAATTATTTATTGATAAACTAAAAAAAAAAGATTAGATTAATATTATTTAATTGTTATTGTTTATTTTACAAACATATTTTTTTTTTATAAATATATATAATAGTATAAAACAATTAATCATTTCAAGAAATATTTGGGTGGTAATCTATTAAAATTGAAGTACAGATAAGGTTGCTTGTCTAAACTCATTTTGGATTTGGCTAAATGTCTAAACCTTTAGTTTTGCTAAATTTTTACTAAGTGTTTGATATAGTTTCATCATTTTTATAGGCTTTGATATAGTTTTACCTTTTTCTGAATTTCGCAGATATTTTAATAAGGTTTTAATATAATTTAACCAAGTTTTACCTTTACCATTTAGACGTCTGTCTAAACTCTGGATTTCGTCTAGCAATCTTAGGTACAGATCATATGATTTACTATGTCTCATATCTCAATTTTAATAGCATACCACCCATTTAAAGAAAATGGATTTGAAATATATGAATATTATGAATTAGTTATGATTTTTAAACAAATAGAAAAACAAAAAAAAAATGTAAAAATTGAAAATTTACTGTTAATAAATTAATTGAAAAGATTCATGGTAGATATTGATAGATTGAAAAAAAAGGGTAATATTAAACAAACAGAAGTAAAAAAATGCTTAATTTTATAAATTTATTTAATCTTTAATAAATTGTCAAGTTTATAGTTTTTTAGCCAATGGCATTTGCTAACCAATCTTCCTATTACGTGATACTACTCCGCTTTAAGTAAAAAATTTCACCCCACTAATTTTTGGCCGGCATTATAGAGCTTGACCGAAATTAACCATGTAACAAACAAGGTGACACAGCGTGAAAATTCCTAAGACTGTCGATTAGTAATTTTTAAAACGCGTTATTTATTAAATTTTTAAGATAATTTATTCAAAATTACCTAACATTCACAATACTTGTTTGTACATTAAAGAGTCAATGTTCACAAGATTATATCGTGCTTTTAAGCAAGTGCTGACAATTCTTGTCTTCCCGCAGGTGATATATTGGATTTTATGAATTGAAGATATATTGACCTGAAAGTAATGAAAATAGTAATGCTAATCTTTCATATTTTTATTTTTATTTTTTTTAGAGCTTTATAGAATTTAATTTTAAATTAATAGTGGAAGAATTTCTTCCATTTTAAAAAGGCAATTGGATTATTATAGCCTTAAGAAAAATGGTTTTGCTCTAATGCATTATAGTAATTTTTAGATATAATTCTATCGCTCATCCCAATTACTGGAATTTCTGTAAAGACCAAGAACTTGAAACTAATAATGTTAAGATAACTCGTAGAATCAGATATTTAAAAGGGTAATAAAGTATCGTAATATTCTTAATATATTTATATTTGGAGTCTCTTCAATTAATTCTTCTTAGATGTCTTGAATCTCGTAATAACAGAAACAAAATTCATAGCAACCATTGTAATTCTCTACAACAACAAAGAAATTCAAATAGATAATAAATAGATCATAAGAAATTTTTTGAGATTAAATCAGATTCAATTATCATCATTATAGGATCTGGAGCCGAAAATTTGCACCGGAATTTGGAATGGTGTGATTGGCAATACTTCCTAAAAGTATTCGGCTTGTATATTTTAACGTCATTTGGTCGGATTGTTGCTTGGTACTTTATATTAGGATAATACTAGAATTTGTCGCGTCTAGATTTTATCGAGGAACAGCATGGTTTGTGCGCATTTTTTTTATTATTATTTTACAAAGTGTATTATATATTGATCAATTTTAAATATATGGATCTAGTGTCGTGTATCGTTAAGGATACTTTTATCATGATTCCTGAACTTCTTCACCAAATGGCTTTTAAATAAGGATGAACTTTCAAAGTAGTGTGATCAAGTTATAGATTTTTGTGTCTGAATCTCCAAACCTTTTCCCTTGTCGAACTCTTTTAACTCTGACAATTATTTGTTAAACCAGAATTAATGATTAATTAGGTCAGATGCATAAGCTTATGATATTTGAAATTCTGGCATTCATCATGCAATTATTTCTGGAAAAGATATCTAATATGTCAATTGCAGGAGGTTTAAAAGACACTAAAATTGGTGCATTATTTGAACGATATATTAAATTAATAAAGTTTCACGGAATTCATCAACAAATAGTTGTGATGAAAGAAAAATTAAGGTTTAGAAAATGTTTTCCAATTTATGGTACAAGCTAGAGTTCAGGAGCTCATTTATGCTTAGCATGGATGAAATCACGGAAATGGATTGTCAACTAAACGAGCGTAATTAGTTAGTTTATTCAATTGATTTATTACAATTCTCCTAAAGATGATATAATGTTTCAAAACCATTTTTATGCAGATCTCGCTTATCTACTGGATCGTTAAAATATATTCCTAGTTGTTGTTGTACTACATAGTTCGAGAAATTCCTGTATTAGAAATTTTAGACAATAGATGTTAATGGGGTTGATATTTACGGTGGTGGCAATGTGCTAAGATTGTGCGCTGTAATGATTGGACCAGATAGCATTGTAATTTTAAGTTTTATACTGGAATTCCGAATGGTAAATAAAAATATTTATATTTTCCTTTACCTTGGTTATAATATATTAATTATAGGGGTTAGAAGGCGTCATTTTCCACTAACTCATTATTATATCCATGAAGGTCCAAGAATTTGCTTATGATAGCGTGATAGTAAGTTTGAATTATATCTGATTGATTTATTAATTAATTTTCGGTTTCTTATCGTCTTACTTTGAATCCGATCCCTCTATCCTTTCAATATCATCAGCCGTTTGGGTATCTTCATTGGTATCATAAATGTATTGACCAGCAAAGTCCCGAAAATTTCTGATACGTAATTCAAATTACACGTTCCAGCGTTTGACTTAAAATGAAGACACTATAAATCACCTATCACCTGGTAGTACTTTTTTTTTTCATTTGTCTTGAAATTAATTCTAATTAATAATGATTGCGTCAATTGTTATATATTAAAAATAGCATTCCGATACCTTTACTTTGAAATGCTTAAACAAGAGTTGACAGTAACCGTTTTCAACATCTTGTTCCCAATACCGGAATTAAAATGTGTATGGAACAACAGATCATAGTCTCTGAAAAGTATACAGAATTTTTAATTGCTCTTTTTTGAGAATATTTTTTATATGGTATTGTTAAAGTTAGTTTATAATGCTTAAGATTAGAGAGGAAAATTCTAATAAGGAAGGCGGAATATATTTATCCATATAGGAGATATATCTAGTTTAGAAAAATGGGTAAATGTTACAAAGAAGGATTGGTTTAACAATGACGAAGATAATACCATACAGGACATAATATATTATTAATTATTTTAAAGAATTCGCGTGGTTTATGGTCAAAAAAAATAATTCTCACTTTTTTATTTTTAATTTTTTTTTTGTTTAAAGAAAAAAACCTAGTTATAAGAGCCGATTATCAAATAAATTCTGAGGACTTGGAACTAACTGAACTTGGTTAGATAGGTAATGTGAAAATGTCCTAGTTCGTAGAGATAGATATGAGGCTTTCAATTATTTTGTTCCTATAGAAGGAAATTAACTTTTCTATTTTGATTTTCTTTTGAAGAAGAGGCAAGCACAAAATAACGTAGATTTATTAAACAAACAAGAATATATTTGAAAAGAAATTACCAATTTATAACGTTACCAAACGGTAGTAAGTTGCAAATAATTTATTAGCTTTTCTTTCATTACAATATAGATAATTAATTAATTTGTTTTATTTCTCGTTTCCCTTTAGTAGATGTTCTTGACTTACGAATTCGAACAGTAAATTCATGATATTTGGGCTCAACCTTTTTCAAATCTGCTTATACATACACTGTTTGATGTGATGAAAGTTTCATTGATCTTGGTAGTATTCAATTCAAGCGGCAAGATTTGATTTTAGAACTAAGGAAGACTTGTGATGTCAACGTGCCTCTTTGAAGAACGTGGGGAAAACTTATTTTGTATACAGTATATGCAATTGCATTAACAATTTTTTGAATTTTTTTATAGGTTCATTGAATTTTTCTTTATTTAAATCCTAGAGTATCGATTGTGTTTTGAACTCTGGGCGCTAAAACTTGCCTTAGTGCATTATCATCGAACCTTTCAATCTTGTTAGTTCAACTTCTACAAACATTATATCGATTTAAGTATTCTATTATTAAATAAAATGATTAAGGGCAGGGTTGGCAAAAGACCTTGAAATGACCTCAGATGACCTCAAATGACCTTATTGTTATTAATAAATTTCAAGTCAAATGACCTTATAATTTGACATCACTGATTTAGGGAGTAGTAGAATAAGATTAAAAAATAAAAGTTTACTGAATTTTTTATATTGATAATAAACAACGTCCACTATAATAAATATAATAAAGATAGATAATGTAACTTTTATGACTAAATAACTATTATTATTATTATTCCCTTCAATTCCTTCAATTGAAAGGTTTTTTCACCGAAAGAAATCATTTTCTATATCCCAAGCATTTATATTATCCCAACCCTACAATTTCCATCGGTCGGATCATTATAAAAAAATATTTTCACACTATTTTAAAATTGAAGGTAAGTCAACCTTTTCAACATCGCTTTCTAGACTATGGTTCATTTTTCGAAACGTTTCATTTTTTTCACTCTGGTTCAATTTCTTTTCTAGAACCATTATCTTCTGGTTCATTTTTGAAGAGATCCATCTTTTCAACCTCTTTTTCCTCCTCTTCAAATGCTTCATCTTTTTCAACTTCTTTCCTAGAACCATTAACTTCTGGTTCATCATTTTTCAACTTTTCAAGAACCATTATCTTCTGGTTCATTTTTTTGAAAAGGTCTTTTTTTTCATTTTCGATAGCTTCATCTTTTTCAACTTCTTTTCTAAAGTCATTATCTCCTTTTGATTTGAAATTTATAGAAGTCATAAGTTGAAAAGTTTCTTAAATATATAAGTCTAAGTAAGGGTATCGATTTCTTTTTTTATTGATGGTATGGTGATCAAAGTGTGAAACTCGTAATTTCGGCTAATTCCATAATGCCGGCCAAAAAATCACTTACATTTAATCATTTAAATTTAAATTTTATTTTTTTAAAATATTAATAATAATACTTTAATAACTAAAAATATAATTATATTAAATATTATACGTTTTATCTGTAATATCCTGACGAGACGCATTTTTATTGGTCAATTTATATTACACAAATCCAAAAAGGCAATTTTGCTTCCATCAAAAATCGAAAATTTGGTAGTATTACACCGATTTCCAAAAAAAGAAATTTCTTTGCTGATCACTTAATAAAAAAATGGTTTTTGTTAAATAAATCACAAATAATATTCAAAACCACTATATTGATGTATTATAACTTTTTTTCATTTTTTTTTAAAGATATTATATATAACAGGTGTTACAAATACATTTTTCCATAATTATTATACTGTGTATTTAAATTACATATTTAAAATTAATTATTATATATTATATGAATAATATACTTTTGTAAACTTATATAATATTATTTAAAACATTTAAAAATATAAAAATTTTCTAAATTAAACTTTAATTTAATATATAATAATAAAAGCAAAAATGTAGCTAATGATTTGGATTGCATAGCAATTCCTGCCTGATTAGTCAATCAGCTTTGAGTATTTAATAATTATTAAATTAAATAAAATTTTTATATTATTATATTGTGTGTAATGCATTACTAATATATCTATAAGTATTACACATTACAAATATATTATGTAAAATTTTTTGTATTACATATTATTACATAAATATTTTGGAATTATGTAACATATATTATGTAAAAATTTTTATATTATGCATAAATGTATCATAAATTATAAAAAAATTTTCATTTCAGATCAAAAACTTTTTTGTGTTTTATATTACAAAATTTTTATGATATAAAATTTTTTTGATTTATTCACACATTTCCTTTTTTTTTTTTACTTTAATTACTTTTTGAGTAGTTTATTTAAAAGAAAGAAAGAGTAGGGCCAAAATGGGATTTCTGAAACAAATTTCAATTAGTACTCAGAAAAGATTCCTATTCGTTTAAGAATCCATTTTAGCTATATGAATCCATTATCAAATTCAAACCTCTAGTGTATTTTAACTCAATTCTAGATGATGTTATCGAACTTAGCTAAGAATTAGCCTGTCTGATATCAAGAATTACACTGTTTGATATAGTAATTCTAGTCTGATTTTAATCCTAAATAATATATCAAAAAATTTTTACTATTCTATTTACCTTAGGAGGGGCCATCAAAAATCAAGAAACAAAGTGACGCGATTTGAGCTGGGCATGACCATGTAAGCCTAAAATGCATACCATATTTTATAATATCCTAGAATTAATTCTAAAGCTGATTCATTAACGTAAACAAAATTTTGTATGTACGCAAGAAAGTTAAAAAGTCATAAAACACATTCTAGTATACCATTTTTTTAATATACAAGAACACATTTTAAAACTATTTCATTTACGCAAATCTAAGACAAAAAAATAGTACCAGGATACAAAAAATTTTATAGACTATTTACTATTCATTAGGGACTTAAAGCGCAGTCTGTGATAGTATTAGAAGACATAAAACCCATTTATATGATCAGGACATCGACCAGAAGCTGATCTATTAAGTCTACCACATTCACTATAAGGAGTAAGTTGCTTATTAACTAACTTTATAACATATTTCCAATGAATAGAACATCCTTGTTCACGTATACAAGATCGATCACAAATTTTACCAGAGAAGTGTATAAAGGGACAAGTATATTCATTATACATAATGTAATTATTTTTTATATACTAAAATAATTAATTAAAATAAAAAGTTTATATAAGTATTATATAGTAATACATACACTTACACAATGAGTACACAAATTCAATTATCTGAAGTAAAATCCACTTTCCAAGAAATCGAAAAGGCTTTAATCAAAATGCTTAAGGCAGAGATTCTCTGTAGAAGACCAAAATATGGTAAGTTTATGCAAAATTATAAAAAGCGTGTTCTAGAATTACGTTAGACAGAAAATCCTAAATCATAAACCCCAACCAAAATATATTCTATATGCAAGTTTTAGCTCTATTACTATTCCTAATGAGATATATCAAACAGTCATTGATTCCTATTATTCAAATAGATTCAAGTAAAGCTAGAAATTTAGATATATCTATTGATTTGCAAAAGATTTATTATCAGCCTTCAGGCTATCAAAGGACTATAAAAAAATTATTTGAAGCTTCTTAAAAAGCTGGGTTCGATTTTACCTTAAATAAAGTGCGTGATTGGCTTGAGAGACAAGCTGTACATCAGATTCATAAACCTTATCCTAGAAATATTCCAAGTGCATCTTTCATTAATGTTACTATACCTATGGAGGTTATTCAAGCTGACTTATGCTATATGCCTTATGATCAAATTGGAAATAAAATTTATAAATTTGCACTTAATTGTGTAGATATTGCTATTCATATAAAATGGACCTATCCATTAACTAACTGTGATTCTGCTAGTATTGCTATAGGCTTTGAAAAACTTTTTAACTCCCAAAAATGTCCGCTTACTTGGCATAAAAAAGATCTTATGGTGGATGGAGATGTTGAATTTCGGGGTGATATTATTAGATTAATGAATAAATATAGTATCAATATTCTAATAGCTAATTCTAAAGAAAGTATGGGTATTGTTAAAATGTTTAATAAGACATTACAAGAATGATCATCTATTATTCAAGATGCTGTTAATATGAGATTACTTATATCAGAATATTGTCGAGCTTGGGTTAGAAACCTTGATAATTCTATGACTTGTCTTCTAGGTATTTCTCCTGCTAATGCATGAAAACTGAAGCATGTTTATGCAAAACCTTCTAAGTCTTAAAATGGGCCATGGGGTTTGATGAGAAGCAATTAACTTATGAGTTAAAAGGTGGAAGAAGACGTGCTGGAAATATGATTTGGTCTCTTCAAGTCTATCATATCTGTGAATCTTTAGTGCAAAAAAATCAGCCGGTCTTATACTGGTTGGAAGATGATGAAGGCAATAATCCAAAAAGATCTTTTGTGAGAAAAAAATTAATAGTTATTAAAGAAGCTCAGCTACCACCTCGATGGGTACTTACATAATAAGAAAATCCTCAAGTGTTTTATTAGCTTATTCTTCTATAATAAAATAATCCTTAGCTAACCTATAGTATAAATCATATAGTTCCATAACAGCATTAAGAATTTTTAAATCTTTATTATAATAAGATTTATAATCACTAATAACTTGCTTAGAGCTCCGAACAGGTCGGGTCGGATCGGGTAATTGACTTGACCCGACCTGATAAGGTCAGGTCGGGTCAGACATAAAATTGACCTGAATTAAATATACATT